AACTACAGGTATAATAGATATAAAGATGCAGACAGACTACAGGTAGAATATATATCAAGATGCAGACAGACTACAGGTAGAATAGATATCAAGATGCAGACAGACTATAGGTAGAATATATAAGATGCATACAGACTACAGGTAGAATATATATCAAGATGCAGACAGAACTACAGGTAGAATATATATCAAGATGCAGACAGACTACAGGTAGAATATATATCAAGATGCAGACAGAACTACATGTAGAATAGATATCAAGATGCAGACAGAACTACAGGTAGAATAGATATCAAGATGCAGACAGACTACAGGTAGAATAGATATCAAGATGCAGACAGAACTACAGGTAGAATAGATATCATGATGCAGACAGACTACAGGTAGAATATATATAAAGATGCAGACAGACTACAGGTAGAATAGATATCAAGATGCAGACAGAACTACAGGTAGAATAGATATCAAGATGCAGACAGAACTACAGGTAGAATAGATATCAAGATGCAGACAGACTACAGGTAGAATATATATAAAGATGCAGACAGACTACAGGTAGAATATATATCAAGATGCAGACAGACTACAAGTACAGTGAGGGGAAAAAAGTATTTGATCCCCTGCTGATTTTGTACGTTTTCCCACTGACAAACACATGATCAGTCTATAATTTTAATGGTAGGTTTATTTGAACAGTGAGATACAGAATAACAACAAAACAATCCAGAAAAACACGTCATGAATGTTATAAATTAATTTGCATTTTAATGAGGGAAATAAGTATTTGACCCCCTCTCAATCAGAAAGATTTCTGGCTCCCAGGTGTCTTTTATACAGGTAACGAGCTGAGATTAGGAGCACACTCTTAAAGGTATCAAGATGCAGACAGACTACAGGTAGAATATATATCAAGATGCAGACAGACTACAGGTAGAATATATATAAAAGACACCTGTCCACAGAAGCAATCAATCAATCAGATTGCAAACTCTCCACCATGGCCAAGACCAAAGAGCTCTTCAAGGATGTCAGGGACAAAATTGTAGACCTACACAAGGCTGGGATGGGCTACAAGACCATCGCCAAGCAGCTTGGTGAGAAGGTGACAACAGTTGGTGCAATTATACGCAAATGGAAGAAACACAAAAGAACTGTCAATCTCCCTCAGCCTGGGGCTCCATGCAGGATCTTACTTCGTGGAGTTGCAATGATCATGAGAACGGTGAGGAATCAGCCCAGAACTACACAGGAGGATCTTGTCAATGATCTCAAGGCAGCTGGGACCATAGTCACCAAGAAAACAATTGGTAACACATTACGCCGTGAAGGACTGAAATCCTGCAGCGCCCGCAAGGTCCCCCTGCTCAAGAAAGCACATATACAGGGCCGTCTCAAGTTTGCCAATGAACATCTGAATGATTCAGAGGAGAAATGGGTGAAAGTGTTGTGGTCAGATGAGACCAAAGATATTTGGCATCAACTCAACTCGCTGTGTTTGGAGGAGGAGGAATGCTGCATGTGACCCCAAGAACACCATCCCAACCATCAACCATGGAGGTGGAAACATTATGCTTTGGGGGTGTTTTTCTGCTAAAAGGACAGGGCAACTTCACAGCATCAAAGGGACGATGGACGGGGCCATGTACCGTCAAATCTTGGGTGAGAACCTCCTTCCCTCAGCCAGGGCATTGAAAATGGGTCGTGGATGGGTATTCCAGCATGACAATGACCCAAAACACACGGCCAAGGCAACAAAGGAGTGGCTCAAGAAGAAGCACATTAAGGTCCTGGATTGGCCTAGCCAGTCTCCAGACCTTAATCCCATAGAACATCTATGGAGGGAGTTGAAGGTTCGAGTTGCCAAACATCAGGCTCGAAACCTTAATGACTTGGAGAAGATCTGCAAAGAGGAGTGGGACAAAATCCCTCCTGAGATGTGTGCAAACCTGGTGGCCAACTACAAGAAACGTCTGACCTCTGTGATTGCCAACAAGGGTTTTGCCACCAAGTACTAAGTCATGTTTTGCAGAGGGGTCAAATACTTATTTCCCTCATTAAAATGCAAATCAATGTATAAAATGTATGACATGTGTTTTATTTTTATTTTGTTGTTGTTATTCTGTCTCTCACTGTTCAAATGAACCTACCATTAAAATTATAGACTGATCATGTCTTTGTCAGTGGGCAAACGTACAAAATCAGCAGGGGATCAAATACTTTTTTCCCTCACTGTAGAATATATATCAAGATGCTGACAGACTACAGGTAGAATATATATCAAGATGCAGACAGAACTACAGGTAGAATAGATATCAAGATGCAGGCATACTACAGGTAGAATATATATCAAGATGCAGACAGACTACAGGTAGAATAAATATCAAGATGCAGACAGACTACAGGTAGAATAAATATCAAGATGCAGACAGACTACAGGTGGAATAGATATCAAGATGCAGGCATACTACAGGTAGAATATATATATCAAGATGCAGACAGACTACAGGTAGAATAGATATCAAGATGCAGACAGACTATAGGTAGAATAGATATCAAGATGCAGACAGACTACAGGTATAATATATAAGATGCAGACAGACTACAGGTAGAATAGATATCAAGATGCAGATATACTACAGGTAGAACAGATATCAAGATGCAGACAGACTATAGGTAGAATAGATATCAAGATGCAGACAGACTACAGGTAGAATAGATATCAAGATGCAGACAGACTATAGGTAGAATATATATCAAGATGCAGACAGACTACAGGTAGAATAGATATCAAGATGCTGACAGACTACAGGTAGAATAGATATCAAGATGCAGATAGAACTACAGGTAGAATAGATATCAAGATGCAGACAGAACTACAGGTAGAATAGGAATCAAGATGCAGACAGACTACAGGTAGAATAGATATCAAGATGCAGATAGAACTACAGGTAGAATAGATATCAAGATGCAGACAGAACTACAGGTAGAATAGGAATCAAGATGCAGACAGACTACAGGTAGAATAGATATCAAGATGCAGACAGACTATAGGTAGAATAGATATCAAGATGCAGACAGACTACAGGTATAATATATAAGATGCAGACAGACTACAGGTAGAATAGATATCAAGATGCAGACAGACTACAGGTAGAATAGATATCAAGATGCAGATAGAACTACAGGTAGAATAGATATCAAGATGCAGACAGACTACAGGTAGAATAGATAAGATGCAGACAGACTACAGGTATAATAGATTTCAAGATGCAGACAGACTACAGGTAGAATAGATATCAAGATGCAGACAGACTACAAGTAGAATAGATAAGATGCAGACAGACTACAGGTAGAATAGATAAGATGCAGACAGACTACAGGTAGAATAGATAAGATGCAGACAGACTACAGGTAGAATAGATATCAAGATGCAGACAGAACTACACGTAGAATAGATATCAAGATGCAGACAGACTACAGGTAGAATATATATCAAGATGCAGACAGACTACAGGTAGAATATATATCAAGATGCAGACAGAACATGTTGAATGTGACAACAACAATTTGTTGTGTGAATATATTGAGTTGCAAACTCCCCCCCTTGCCCTCAGAACATCCTCGGGGCATGGATTCTACAAGGTGTCGAAACGTTCTACAGGGATGCTGGTCCTTGTTGACTCCAATGCTTCCCACATTTGTGTCAAGTTGTCTGGATGTCCTTTGGGTGGTGGACCATTCTTGATACACACAGAAAACTGCTGAGCGCGACAAACCCAGAAGCGCCTGGCAACTAATACCATACCCCGTTCAAAGGCACTTACATTTTTTGACTTGCCCATTCACCATCTGAATGGCACACATACACAATCCATGTCTCAATTGTCTCAAGGCTTAAAAATATTGTTTTACCTGTCTCCTCCCCTTCATCTACACACTGATTGAAGTGGATTTAACTAGTGACATCAACAAGGGATCATAGCTTTCACCTGGATTCACCTGGTCAGTTTATGTCATGGAAAGAGCAGGTGTTCTTAATGTTTAGTACATTCAGTTTATATCAAGACGCAGGCAGAAAACAGGTACAATAGTTATCAAGATGCAGCATTTTCATACCAAGGATTGGTCAGTTTCTATAAGAGTAAAGCATGTAAGGCCTTTAAACATGTACAAATAAAAACTGATACGCTCTTATGATACAGTATTTTAGAAAAAAATATTTACTTAACTCTCACATAGAGACGTACAATTGTTACTGCAATGTTTTCCATAATAAGACTGTCCATTTTCGCTTTGTAACGTGGCAGCAAATACTCTGAAGAGGGTGACCTTCAACCTCCCAGGTTTAAATACTTGAAATAGACGTCACTACACAACACTGTGAGAACAGAAACATAGCAGATATACCGTATCATCGTAAATTACAGCAGACAAAATGTCGGACATTCATGCACAAATCTATCAAGAGCCTGACGCTGACACGGAACCATAAGACAGCAGTATATAAAGGCCGTACAGTAAAGTCCTGTAAGAAGAAGAAGAAGATGAATAGAATCAATGACATTCTGTCCGTGTTCAAGTCACCTCAAGTGTTCTGGCCCAGAAAATACAAAAAGGCAATTTCTTCAAGTAATGGCAATTACATTTACATTTTTAGCAGACGCTCTTATCCAGAGCAACTCACAGGAGCAATTAGGGTTAAGTGCCTTGCTCAAGGGCACATCGACAGATTTTTCCACCTAGTCGGCTCGGGGATTAGAACCAGCGACCTTTCGGTTACTGGCACAACGCTCTTAACCACTAAGCTACCTGCCGCCCGCAATGTAATGACAGAGCAGTTGACTTTAGGTGGGGATGAGAGGAAAACATGAACAAGACAGTAAGCAACAAGGTCCCTTTTTTTATATCACAAATGATGGTGCTTTTGTCTTTTGAGAGTTGTTGTTGTCATTCGTACGGTGTCCACATGAGGACATCTGACATTTGTTCTCCTTTGTCCTCTAGGAGTCGTCTTGGGTTTTGATGACGTGGAACAGAGTGACATTGAACAGCACCTGGTGTCCATTGTTCCAGCCATAGAGCGCCCTCTCCCTGGCGTTATAGTCCAGCATGGAGATGTGGAAGTACTGGTTGTGGAAGGGGATGTCTGTGTACTCATAGCTGGAGGTCTTGGTGGAGTATGAGTAGTAGACCTTGGCACCCGTCAGGTGAGAGTTGGTGATGTAGAGTGTTCCGCAGATCATAAAGGATTCCCCCGCGTTCCGTTTGGAATATTCCGTGTTCCACGTCTTCTGGACTTCCAGGGTGTCCGGGTCCATCTGGGCGATGACGAAATTTCCCGCGTTCTGATTGGTTGCGTACACCACCCACATGCCCAGTTCGTCGGCCATGACATCGATGTCGGAGTATCCTCCCCAGGAGTAAGGGTAGGTGTTGTGGAAGCCGGCGTACTCCAGAGCCCGCTGAGCCAGCACCCGACCCGTCTCAAAACTGTACTTCACGATGATGTTGCTCTGGTACTTGTTGTAGTAGAGGGATCCATTGTACACCACATGGCCGGTTCCCTCCCATTTAAATGGGAGGTTGTAGGTTCGAGACACCACATTAGCTACAAAGTCGTCCATGGTCTTGTACTCACGTACGATCTTACTGTTGGTGTAGCTGTCCATGTACCAGACCTATATCAAAGAAAGATAAATAGCAGGAATTAGTGGAAACCACAAGCTGATACGTATTAGACTGAACACTGACTGAGTTACCATGCAACGTACATTAAAATATCTTTACGAAAAGGTAACTTTTTTTCTCCATCTCCCTGATGAATATATATGAACCACTTCACAAGGCCTTATAAATCTAATACATGAACCACTTCACAAGGCCTTATGAATATAATATATAAACCACTTCACAAGGCCTTCTAAATCTAATACAGTGCCTTCAGAAAGCATTCACACCCCTTTACTTTTTCCACATTGTGTTGTGTTACAGCCTGAATTTGAAATTGATTAAATTGAGATTTTGTATCACTGATCTACAGACAATACCCCATAATGTCAAAGTGGAATTATGTTTTTAGAAATGTTTACAAATTAATAAAAAATGAAAAGCTGAAATGTCTTGAGTCAATAAGTATTCAACCCTTTTGTCATGGCAAGCGTCAATAAGTAAGGAGGAGAAATGTCCATAATAAGTCACATTGCATGGACTACCTCTGTGTGCAATAATAGTGCTTAACATGATTTATTGACTACCTCGTCTCTGTACCCCACACATACAATTATCTGTAAGGTCCCCCAGTAGAGTGAATTTCAAACACAGATTAAACTACAAAGACCAGGGAGGTTTTCCAATGCCTTGGAAAGAAGGGCACTGATTGGTAGATAGGTGGCTGTGAAAAAGTGTTTGCCCCCTTTCAAATGTTCTCTGCTTTTGCATATTTTTTGGACTGAATGTTATCAGATCTTCAACCAAAACCGAATGTTAGATAAAGGGAACCTGAGTGAACAAATAACACAACAATTACGTACACCCAAGGCCCCTGTGTGAAAATGTAATTGCCCCCTTGCACTCAATAACTGGTTGTGCCACCTTTAGCTGCAATGACTCCAACCAAATGCTTCCTGTAGTTGTTGATCAGTCTCTCACTTCGCTGTGGAGGAATTTTGGCCCACTCTTCCATGCAGAACTGCTTTAACATTTGTGGGTTTTCAAGCATAAACTGCTTGTTTCAAGTCCTGCCACAACATCTCAATTGGGATTAGGTCTGGACTTTGACTAGGCCATTCTTTGACTAGGCCAATGCAGTGTTTGGTTTTCGTCAGGCATAATGGGACCCATGTCATCCAAAAAGTTATACTTTGACTCATCTGTCTATAGAACATTCTTCCAAAAGTCTTGATGATCATCCAGGTGCATCCAGGTGCTTTTTGGCAAATTTGAGTCAACTTTTTAGACGAGGTGGGTCCCAATATGCCTGGCGAAAACCAAACATTGCATTCCACAGAAAGAACCTCACACCAAAGGTCAAGCATGGTGGTGGTGGTGTGATGGTTTGGGGATGCTTTGCTGCCTCAGGACCTGGACGACATGCCTTAATAGAAGGAACCATGAATTCTGCTCTGTATCAGATAATTCTACAGGAGAATGTCAGGACATCCGTCTGTGAGCTGAAGCTAAAGCACAGCTGGGTCATGCAGCAAGACAATGATCCAAAACACACAATCAAGTCTACATGAAAATGGTTGAAAAGCAACATATTTGAAGTTTTGGAATGGCCAAGTCAAAGTCCAGACCTAATCCCAATTGAGATGTTGTGGCAGGACTTGAAACGAGCAGTTCATGCTTGAAAACCCACAAATGTCGCTGAGTTAAAGCAGTTCTGCATGCAAGAGTGGGCCAAAATTCCTCCACAGCGACGTGAGAGACTGATCAACAACTACAGGAAGCATTTGGTTGGAGTCATTGCAGCTAAAGGTGGCACAACCAGTTATTGAGTATAACGGGGCAATTAACTGTTGCATAACTTTGTTAACAAAAAAAGTATTTTATTTATTTAATTATTTGTAAACTCAGGTTCCCTTTATCTAATATTAGGTTTTGGTTGAAGATCTGATAACATTCAGTATCAAAAACATGCAAAAATATAGGGGGCAAATACTTTTTCACGGCACTGTACATAAAAAAAAGAAAAGCAGACATTGAATATCCCTTTGAGCATGGTGAAGTTATTAATTACACCTTGAATGGTGTATGAATACACCCAGTCACTACAAAAATACAGGCGTCCTTCCTAACCGTTCAGGGATTTCACCATGAGGCCAATGGTGATTTTAAAACAGTTACAGAGTTTAATGGCTGTGAGATAACTGAGGATGGGATCAACGACATCGTAGTTACTCCACAATACTAACCTAAATGACAGAGTGAAAAGAAGGAAGCCTGTACATAATAGAAATATTCCGAAACATGTATCCTGTTTGCAAAAAGGCACTAAAGTAATACTGCACAAAATGGGGCAAATAAATTAACTTTCTGCCATGAATATAAAGCGTTATGTTTGGCGCAAATCCAACACCACACATCACTGAGTACCACTCCTCATATTTTCAGGCATGGTGGTGGCTGCATCATGTTATGGGTATGCTTGTCATTAGCAAGGACTAGGGAGTTGTTCAGGATAAAAAGAAACGGAATAGAGCTAAGCACAGGCAGAATCCTAGAGGAAAACCTGGTTCATTCTGCTTTCCACCAGACACTGGGAGATAAATTCACCTTTCAGCAGGACAATAACCTAAAACATGAGGGCAAATATACACTGGAGTTGCTTGACAAGATGACATTGAATGTTCTTGAGTGGCCTAGTTACAGTTTTGACTTAAATCGGCTTGAAAATGTATGGCAAGACTTGAAAATGGCTGTCTGTCAATGGTCTAAAAACAAATAAAGAGAGTCACACATTCTATGCATAAACTCTCAGTAATTTATTGGGTAAAAAAAAACACCAACGTTTGGTCAACAACCAACATGACAGAGCTTGAAGAAAAATGAGCAAATAATGTACAACCCAGGTGTGCAAAGCTATAAGAGACTTACCCAGAAATCACAGCCAAAAGAGATTCTAACAAGTATTGACATGTTAGAATTTTTCTTCCAGTTTGACATTACAGAGTATTTTGTGTAGATTGTTGACAAAAAATTACAAATGAAATCCATTTGAATCCCACTTTGTAACACAACAAAATGTGGAAAAAGTAAAGGGGTGTTAAGACTTTCTGGAAGCACTTTATATGAACCACTTCACAAGGCCTTGTAAATCTAATATATAAACCACTTCACAAGGACTTATAAATCTAATATAAGAACCACTTCACAAGGACTTATAAATCTAATATATGAACCACTTCACAAGGCCTTGTAAATCTAATATATAAACCACTTCACAAGGCCTTATAAATCTAATATACAGTACATTCGGAAAGTATTCAGACCCCTTGAATTTTAGTTACGTTACAGCCTTATTTTAAAATGGATTAAATATTATTATTTTTTTAATCAAACTACACACAATATCCCATAATGATGAAGCGAAAACAGGTTTGTAGAAATGTTTGCAAATGGGAGGTGACCAAGAACCCGATGGTCACTCTGATAGAGCTCCAGAGTTCCTCTGTGGAGATGGGAGAACCTTCCAGAAGGACAACCATCTCTGCAGCACTCCACCAATCAGGCCTTTATGGTAGAGTGGCCAGACGGAAGCCACTCCTCAGTAAAAGGCACATGACAGCCCACGTGGAGTTTGTCAAAAGGCACCTAAAGGACTCAGACCATAAGAAACAAGATTCCCTGGTCTGATGAAACCAAGATTGAACTATTTGGCCTGAATGCCAAGCGTCACGTCTGGAGGAAACATGGCAGCATCCCTACAGTGAAGCATGGTGGTGGCAGCATCATGCTGTGGGGAGGTTTTTCAGCTGCAGGGACTGGGATACTAGTCAGGATTGAGGCAAAAATGAATGGAGCAACAGAGATCCTTGATGAAAACCTGCTCCAGAGCGCTCAGGACCTCAGACTGGAGCGAAGGTTCACCTTCCAACTGGACAACGACCCTAAGCACACAGTCAAGACAACGCAGGAGTGGCTTCAGGACAAGTCTCTGAATGTCCTTGAGTGGCCCAGCCAGAGCCCGGACTTGAATCCGATCTAACATCTCTGGATAGACCTGAAAATAGCTGTGCAGCAACGCTCCCCATCCAACCTGACAGACCTTGAGAGGATCTGCAGAGAAGAATGGGAGAAATTCCCCAAACACAGGTGTGCCAAGCATGTAGCGTCATACCCAAGAAGACTCTAGGCTGTAATCGCTGCCAAATATGCTTCAACAAAGTACTGAGTAAAGGGTCTGAATACTTATGTTAATGGTTGTTTCAGTTTTTTATTTTAATACATTTGCAAACATTTCTAAAAACCAGTTTTTGCTTTGTCATTATGGGGTATTGTGTGTAGATTGACGAGGGAAAAAAATAATTTAATCAATTTTAGAATAAGGCTGTAATGTAACAAAATGTGGAAAAAGTCAAGGGGTCTGAATACTTTCCGAATGCACTGAATGAACCATTTCACAAGGCCTTGTAAATCTAATATATGAACCACTTCACATGGCCTTATAAATCTAATATATAAACCACTTCACAAGGCCTTATAAATCAAAGGAAATTATACTCTGCATCAGAAAAGCTATTGAACATCCCCATCTCAGAAACCCCCATGAGAAAACCAACACCATGATACTAGGTCATGACAATCTTTGATTATTGTTATAAATCCTTCCCTACAAGTCCGAACCCCCCCCCCCCCCAGGCAGAGCTATCACAAACACAGACACCCACCCACCCACCTCCTCCACTCCCATCCCATAACTCACCCTGTTGTTTCTCTGAGAGGCCTGTGGATCAGTCAACCATGCTCCAAACCGGGTGCCAGATGTCTTTATTGTTACAGGTCCAGTGATTTTCATTAATTTTCCGCATGCTGTTAATAAAGAAATGCAGTGATAAGATGTACTGCTTTTTCCTCCTCTTCTTACTAGATTTCTCAAGCCATTTTCATGCCTGCACCACTGAAGAGTTCACTGAACAACACTGTGCATATTAAAACCAGGCTGCCTGAGAAGTACACTCTAAGCTCTAGGCATAAGGCAGTCATACGTAATACAGTATGAAAACACACATTTACACAATACAGTATGAAAACAAACATTTACACAATACAGTATGAAAACAAACATTTACATAATACAGTATGAAAACAAACATGTACATAATACAATATGAAAACACACATTTACATAATATAGTATGAGAACAAACATTTATATAATACAGTATGAAAACACATTTACATAATACAGTCTGAAAACAAACATTTATATAATACAGTATGAAAACACATTTATATAATACAGTATGAAAACACACAGTAATGCGTTTGAGGTTCCAACTAGTATGTTATTCACAATTCTTACAGATAAAGACAGGGTAGTTTTCTTGTTTGTGGATACTACATTACCATTTTCTTGTTTGTGGATACTACATTACAATTTTCTTGTTTGTGGATACTACCATGCAACTTTGCCTCAGTATGGGCTTTGTAGCAAAACGTCAGTGATGAAAGATGATATCATATTATCCATGCTTAGCGCTCAATTACTTATTTAATTTGCACAATATTACATTTACAGTACATCTAGATACTCAATCTCCATTATGCCATTACTTTGTTTATAAATCAGATCATTTTATCACTTTTCTCATTATTAAGATGAGGTAGAGTAATACAGTAGAATATATATACAGCGAGTTCAACTGATCTCATACAAACATCTAATTTCTGAGTGTGTCTCTCATTCCCAGTGGAATTCAACACAGTTCATGTCTCCATTCCCAGTGGAATTCAACACAGTTCATGTCTCCATTCCCAGTGGAATTCAACACGGTTTATGTGAGTTATTCTTGAGTTTCTCTATGTACAGTTATTGTAGAGACAATATTACACAACTGATCTTAAGTTTGCCCATGCAGTTGATATTGATCTGGTTCTACTCACTGAGCTTGCCCATGCAGTTGGTATTGATCTGGTTCTACTCACTGAGCTTTCCCATGCAGTTGGTATTGATCTGGTTCTACTCACTGAGCTTGCCCATGCAGTTGGTATTGATCTGGTTCTACTCACTGAGCTTGCCCATGCAGTTGGTATTGATCTGGTTCTACTCACTGAGCTTGCCCATGCAGTTGGTATTGATCTGGTTCTACTCACTGAGCTTGCCCATGCAGTTGGTATTGATCTGGTTCTACTCACCGAGCTTGCCCATGCAGTTGGTATTGATCTGGTTCTACTCACTGAGCTTGCCCATGCAGTTGGTATTGATCTGGTTCTACTCACTGAGCTTGCCCATGCAGTTGGTATTGATCTGGTTCTACTCACTGAGCTTGCCCATGCAGTTGGTATTGATCTGGTTCTACTCACTGAGCTTGCCCATGCAGTTGGTATTGATCTGGTTCTACTCACTGAGCTTGCCCATGCAGTTGTGCAGCCTGCTGTCCAGTCTGAGGACCCTCTGGTAGAGCTCATCATAGTCGTATGCCCCCATCTCCTCCTGAATGGCTGTGAGCACCATGGACAGGTTCCTGATCTCCTCTTTAAACGAGGAGATGAGCTGGGCGTCTGTCTTGTACTGCTCCAACACAGGGATCAGAGGCTGCAGCTCATCCATCTTGTTCTTCAGCTCCTGAAGCAGAGACAGGCACAGAGACAGAGACAGGCACAGAGACAGAGACAGAGAGAGAGACAGAGACAGAGACAGAGACAGAGACAGAGACAGAGACAGAGACAGAGACAGAGACAGAGACATAGAACTAGACATGGTCAGAGACAGGCAACGAGACAGAGACAGAGACAGAGACAGAGACAGAGACAGAGACAGTGGAAGGACAGAGGAACGAGGGACAGAGACAGAGACAGGCACAGAGCCAGGACCGAGACAGCACAGGATAGTGACAGTGACAGAGACGAGGGGGGGAAAACCCCAAAGATGGCCTGGATTAAGAGATAGCCCAGAGGAGAGATAGAAACCACTTAAGACACACTTAAAACACCATCTGAGAGGTGAGAAAAGGCCATAATGGTAAAAGATCAGAGAATATCGAAGAAGCTCGATAAAATATAATAGAAGAGAAGAGAAGAGACTAGAAGAGAAGAGAAGATAAGAGGCCTATCCTCTCATATCCATCCCTGCAATCTCCTCTCAGACTCTCTGCCCTTCTCACTCTCTTCCCTTCTCTTCTCTTCTCTTCTCGTTCTCTTCTCTTCTCTTCTTCTTCTTCTCTTCTCTTCTCTTCTCTTCTCTTCCTTCTCTTCCCTCCTTTTCCCCTCCCCTCTCTCCTTCTCCTGCTCCTTCCTCCTCTCCTCCTCCTCTCTCCTCTCGCCTCCTCGCTCCTCTCCTCTCCTCTCCTCTCTCTCCCACCTCCTCCTCTCCCTCTCCTCTCCTCTCTCTCCTCTCCTCTCCTCTCTCTCTCTCTCTCTCTTCGCCTCTCTCTCTCTTCTCTCTCTTCTCTTCTCTTCTCTTCTCTTCCTTCTTTCTTCTCTTCTCTTCTCTTCTCTTCTCTTCCTTCTCTTCTACTTCTCTTCTCTCTCTTGCCTTCCCTCCTTTGTCTTTTTCCCTTTCCCCTTTTCTGACTGAAAGTGAAATATGGGTATGTGCAGTCTACGTTTGAAAAGGATATTTCCCTATGTGTGTGTCTCACAATGTTTAACATGATCATGGAAAATCTCTGCTCAGGTGACGTGGTCAGGAAAAAACACCTGGGTCTATTTATAAACAATGTTCTGTACTTTAATGTATTCCAGTGCTGTGATGTTCCTGTACCTGGAAGTTCCTGGTGATAATGGTCTTCCTGTCATCTTCTATCTGCCTGAACTTGGTCTGGAGCCCTTTCATCTGATTCTCCATCTTCATGACGTACTGGAAGTCCCTCTGGGTTCGCAGGTTCAACACCTCAATGGACTGGGACATGTTCTGCACCTGGAGCAGAGAATACAAGACAAACACAACAACTACCTCCAACATGTTCTGGACCACAGCAAAAAACAGAAGCACATTCAATCTAGCCTGGTTGACCCAGATCGGTTTGTGTTCGGCACGATGGCCATGACCATAGTGGTTGCCAAGACAGCACAGACCGACCTGGAACCAAGCAAAATGAAATCTACACAACATTCACAAACAGAAATTAGCTCACACTGACTCCTTAGCCGACTAACTTGAGATCTTTATGTGTAACTCAGATTGAGGTGTAACATTGACAACAAAGCATGGCTTACAGTACGTGAAAGTCTGAATTACATACACACCTCAAGGCAAGTTGGAATTCAGCCCTGTTCGAATACTGTATTTGAACACATGGCCCTCAATCTTTTTTTTTTTTTTTTTTTTTTTTTGTCATTTAGCAGACGCTCTTATCCAGAGCGACTTACAGGAGCAATTAGGGTTAAGTGCCTTGCTCAAGGGCACATCGGCAGATTTTTCACCTAGTCGGCTCAGGGATTAGAACCAGCAACCTTTCGGTTACTGGCACAACGCTCTTACCCACTAAGCTACCTGCCGCCCTAATCTGAAATGGATGTTTAAAAAACAATAACATGATTTGAGACGTGATCCTTACTTTTGTTGTGTTTATGTGTTTTCTTGTGTTTATGAAAAAAAAAAAAAGACATGAATCACAAGCGAACAACACAATGCTCCTTAACAGACTATAACAGACACAAGATGATGCATACATCTGGATATTGATAATAAGATGCGCTTCCCCTCCCATATGATTAACAATTCATCACACACACAGGCGTGAACGACTTAGCCTTTAATCACTCTACTTATGCTCTGACATCGCAGAGGTACAATAATGTGTACGATAGATCACCTCAGAATGGAGAAAATGATTGTGTACAGTACACCGAGTTTCAGAACCTAATACACACAGCATCTTATATCAGGGATCTTTCAATGTGAATAGATAAGACTCCCTTTGAAATGAACTGTGACTTTTAACACTTCCACAACAGGTGTTGCTAAGACGCCAATGTGAATAGATAAGACTCCCTTTGAAATGAACTGTGACTTTTAACACTTCCACAACAGGTGTTGCTAAGACGCCAATGTGAATAGATAAGACTCCCTTTGAAATTAACTGTGACTTTTAACACTTCCACAACAGGTGTTGCTAAGACGCCAATGTGAATAGATAAGACTCCCTTTGAAATGAACTGTGACTTTTAACACTTCCACAACAGGTGTTGCTAAGATGTTGCCGAGGGCTGTTACATTACTTCTAGGTGATTCTATGGTAGGTGTTGTGTTGATTCTATGGTAGGTGTTGTGTTGATTCTATGGTAGGTGAAAGATTTACGACTCCTCCCGGACCAGGCCCAAATCCCTGTCATTCGCGTGAAGAGGAGACGTCAATACAGGGGGCGCAGATCCGTGTGCTTGGTGAGAATTTCGTTGGCGAGTGGATAATCCGCATTTACCATCCATCCTACAGGCGAACATACAATCACTGGAAAATAAACTGGATGAGCTCCGTTCCAGACTATCCTACCAACGGGACATTGAAAACTGTAAGATCTTATGTTTCACCGAGTCGTGGCTGAACGAGGACATCGATAATATACAGTTGGCTGGGTTTTCCGTGCATCGGCAAGACAGAACAGCAACCTCCGATAAGACGAGGGGTGGTGGTCTGTGTCTATTGGTCAACAACAGCTGGTGCGCGATCTCTAAAATTCTTGAGGTTTTGCTCACCTGAGGTAGAGTACCTCATGATAAGCTGTAGACCACACTATTTGCCGAGAGAGTTTTCATCTATATTTTTTCGTAGCTGTCTATTTACCACCACAAAACGATGCAGGCAGTAACGCCACACTCAACGAGCTGTATAAGGCCATAAGCAAACAAGAAAATGCTCATCCAGAAGCGGCGCTCCTAGTGGCCCGAGGACTTTAATGCAGGAAAACTTAATACCGCTTGAATTAATTTCTATCTGCAACCAGAGGGAAAAAAAAAAACTCTAGACCACCTTTACTCCACACACAGAGACGCATACAAAGCACTCCCTCGCCCTCCATTTGGCAAATCTGACCATAATTCTATCCTCCTGATTCCGGCTTAAAAGCAAAAACTCAAGCAGGAAGTACCAGTGACTCGCTCAATACGGAAGTGGTCAGATGACATGGATGCTAAGCTACAGGAGTGTTTTGCTAGCACAGACTGGAATATGTTCCGGCAAGTCGGTTAGGACATCTACTTTGTGCATGACACAAGTAATATTTCCAACAATTGTTTACAGACAGATTATTTCACTTATAATTCACTGTATCACAATTCCAGTGGGTCAGAAGTTTACATACACAAAATTGACTGTGCCTTTAAATAGCTTGGAAAATTTCAGAAAATGATGTCATGGCTTTAGAAGCTTCTGATAGGCTAATTGACATCATTTGAGTCAATTGGAGGTGTACCTGTGGATGTATTTCAAGGCCTACCTTCAAACTCAGTGCCTCTTTGCTTGACATCATGGGAAAATCAAAAGAAAGTCAGTCAAAACCTCAGAAACAAATGGTAGACCTCCACACACCTGGTTCATCCTTGGGAGCAATTTCCAAATGCCTGAAGGTACCACGTTCATCTGTACAAACAATAGTACGCAAGTATAAACATCATGGGACCACGCAGCCATCATACCACTCAGGAAGGAGATGCGTTCTGTCTCCTAGAGATGAACGTACTTTGGTGCGAAAAGTGCAAATCAATCCCAGAACAACAGCAAAGGACCATGTGAAGATGCTGGAGGAAACAGGTACAAAAGTATCTATATCCACAGTAAAACAAGTCCTATATCGACATAACCTGAAAGGCTGCTCAGCAAGGAAGAAGCCACTGCTCCAAAACCGCCATAAAAAAGCCAGACTACGGTTTGCAACTGCACATGGGGACGAAGTTCGTACTTTTTGGAGAAATGTCCTCTGGTCTGATGAAACAAAAATAGAACTGTTTGGCCATAATGACCATCGTTATGTTTGGAGGAAAAGGGGACGGCTTGCAAGCCGACGAACACCATCCCAACCGTGAAGCACGGGGGTGGCAGCATCATGCTGTGGGGGTGCTTTGCTGCAGGAGGGACTGGTGCACTTCACAAAATAGATAGCATCATGAAGAAGGAAAATGATGTGGATATATTGGAGCAACATCTCAAGACATCAGTCATGAAGTTAAAGCTTGGTCGCAAAAGGGTCTTCCAAATAGACAATGACCCCAAGCATACTTCCAAAGTTGTGGCAAAATGGCTTAAGGACAACAAAGTCAAGGTATTGGAGTGGCCATCACAAAGCCCTGACCTCAATCCTATAGAAAATGTGTGGCCAAGACCATACAGCGGTTTAACAGGACAGGTTCCACTCAGAACAGGCCTCGCCATGGTTGACCAAAGAAGTTGAGTGAATGTGCTCAGCGTAATATCCAGAGGTTGTCTTTGGGAAATAGATGTATGAGTGCTGCCAGCATTGCTGCAGCGGTTGAAGGGGTGGGGGGGTCAGCCTGTCAGTGCTCAGACCATACGCCGCACACTGCATCAAATTGGTCTGCATGGCTGTCGTCCCAGAAAGAAGCCTCTTCTAAATATGATGCACAAGAAAGCCTGCAAACAGTTTGCTGCAGACAAGCAGACTAAAGACATGGATTACTGGAACCATGTACTGTGGTCTGATGAGACCTGAAGATAAACTTATTTGGTTCAGATGGTGTCAAGCGTGTGTGGCGGCAACCAGGTGAGGAGTACAAAGACAAGTGTGTCTTGCCTACAGTCAAGCATGGTGGTGGGAGTGTCAGGGTCTGGGGCTGCATGAGTGCTGGGGGCACTGGGGAGCTACAGTTCATTGAGGGAACCATGAATGCCAACATGTACTGTGACATACTGAAGCAGAGCATGATCCCCTCCCTTTGGAGACTGGACCGCAGGGCATGATAACGACCCCAAACACACCTCCAAGACGACCACTGCCTTGCTAAAGAAGCTGAGGGTAAAGGTGATGGACTGGCCAAGCATGTCTCCAGACCTAAACCCTATTGAGCATCTGTGGGGCATCCTCAAACGGAAGGTGGAGTAGTGCAAGGACTCTAACATCCACCAGCTCTGTCATGTCGTCATGGAGGAGTGGAAGAGGACTCCAGTGGCAACCTGTGAAGCTCTGGTGAACTCCATGCCCAAGAGGGTTAAGGCAGTGTTGGAAAATGATGGTGGCCACAAAAAATATTGACACTTCGGGCCCAATTTGGACATTTTCACTTAGGGGTGTACTCACTTTTGTTGCCAGCGATTTAGACATTAATGGCTGTGTGTTGTGTTATTTTGAGGGGACAGCAAATGTACACTGTTATACAAGCTGTACATTCACTACTCTACATTGTAGCAAAGTTTCATTTCTTCAGTGTTGTCACATGAAAATATATACTCAAATATTGACAAAAATGTGAGGGGTGTACGTAGGAATGCTGTTCGTTGACTACAGCTCAGCGTTCAACACCACAGTGCCCTCCAAGCTCATCACTAAGCTAAGGACCCTGGGACTAAACACCTCACCCTGCAACTGGATCCTGGACTTCCTGACGGGCCGCCCCCAGGTGGTAAGGGTAGGTAACAACACATCTGCCACACTGATCCTCAACACGGGGGCCCCTCAGGGTTGTGTGCTCAGTCCCCTACTGTACTCCCTGTTCACCCACGACTGCGTGGCCACGCACGACTTCAATACCATCATTAAGTTTGCCAACGACACAACGGTGGTAGGCCTGATCACCGACAACGATGAGGCAGCCTACAGGGAGGAGGTCAGAGACCTATCATTGTGGTGCCAGGACAACAACCTCTCCCTCAATGTGATCAAGACAAAAGAGCTGATTGTGGTCTACAGGAAATGGGGGGCCGAGCACTCACCAATTCACATCGAGGGGGCTGTAGTGGAGCGGGTCGAAAGCTTCAAGTTCCTTGGCGTCCACATCAGTAACAAACTATCATGGTCCAAACAGTGACCGTCAAGAGAAAAATTGCTGATGCACACTAACATTTTGAAATTGCACCTAACGCTCAACAGTAAATAGAGACCCTGACTGAGTTGGGGCGGAACCGGCCCTGATAGAGAGATGTACTGTATGTGTTGGTTTGGTACCTTCTCCAGTAGCTGGCGGAGCTGTCTTCCCTTCGCGTCTCTGGAGCAGAGGTTCTGTTCAGGAGCCACCACCGTGCAAATACACCGCCCGTCAGTATCCTGGGCTGAGCTGTACACCTGCCAACCCTCCTTAGGCCCGATGGTCTACAGACACACCACACACACACACACACACACACACACACACACACACACACACACACACACACACACACACACACACACACACACACACACACACACATACACACACACACACCCACACACACACACACACACACACACACACACACACACACACACACACACACACACACACACACACACACACACACACACACAGGAACATATCAGTGAAGGGAATCTGTAATCTGGATAAATGCCGTTGGAAGACAGACATTTTTCAATGTGAGCTGGTAGCTAGATAATCATGTAGCTAGTGATAGAAAGTGATAGATATTTCAATATAAAAAGATTGAAGAAATGTTATAGTATATCTTCAGCAAAAGATGGCATTTAATTCATAATCACGGGGGGGAGGGGGGATTGACATATATCATTGTTTTAAAGCGGTCATACCATGGATCATTTAGCTATTTGATTTTAAATTGTAGGACCCTTTTAGGTATCAGAAAAATTATAATAATATAATTTGATAAAATATTGATTTTGGCCTTTTGCCCATAGAAACGCATTGAATAACACATTCATAAATGACAAAAAAGACAGTCAAAAAAGTATATAAGGTTTTGAAGTGTCTGTCCTTCAGTACATCTACACTACCGTTCAACAGTTTGGGGTCACTTAGAAATGTCCTTGTTTTCGAAAGAAAAGCACTTTTTTTGTCCATTAAAATAACATCAAATTGATCATAAATAGAGTATAGACAATGTTAATGTTGTAAATGGCTATCGTAGCTGGAAACTGCTGATTTTTTATGGAATATCTACATAGGCGTACAGAGGCCCATTATCAGCAACCATCAGTCCTGTGTTCCAATGGCACATTGTGTTTGCTAATCTAAGTTTATTATTTTAAAAGGCTAATTGATCATTAGAAAACCCTTTTGCAAATATGTTAGTCTTATTTTTCTCCATTCCTTTAAACGATCAGCTCTCAGAAAACCATCCCATTAAAAAATGTATAATTTGTCTGTTGCTGTTTCACTTCAGAGAGATAGAAAGAGAGAGAAAGAGAGAAAGAATAGAGTCAAACATGAGAGCAAAAGTAAGAGCGAGGGTTAAAGAGAATAGAGAGAGAGAGAGAGGAGAGAGAGAGAGAGAGGAGAGGAGAGGAGAGGAGAGAGAGGATAGGAGAGGAGAGGAGAGGAGAGGAGAGGATAGGGAGAGGAGAAGGAGGAGGCGGAGAGAGAGGAGGGGAGGAGACGGAGAGGAGAAGAGGAGAGAGGGAGAGAGAGAGGAGCGGCGAGAGAGAAGAGAGCTCCTAGAAGCTCTCCTTCTTCGCAGAGGGAGAGGAGGGAGAGAGAGAGAGCCCCCACGCGGGGGAGAGAAGCGTGGTGAAATAGACAACCCAATATGTTTGTGCAGGGAGTAAAGCAGTGCTGGTCCACTGGGGATGGCTCCATGGCTCCATGGCTCCAGTGAAAGGTATTTTGTGAGAATGATTAATGACCATCCTTTGGAGTGTATCTCTGTGTGAAACCAATGTAGTCTTGTATCAGATCCTCCTCTATCTAACTTTCAGAGACCTGGAACCATAGTGTATTGTGTATTTGCTGCAGTGGGAGACTGTATTGTAGTGTGTGAGAGACAGAAAATGCCCTGCAGTTGTCAAAATGTTGCAATTCATATTTGTTTATCCTCTGTGCATGGACCTTGTGTGAACTGTCCTAACAGTGTTGCTTTGATGTACAGTCTGAATGGTGCTTTAATATGCAAGACACGTCTGTAGCAAAGCTAACTTCAACACATTACCGCCCACAGCAGAGTAGAAACAAATTAACAGACAGTTCATAGTGGGGTTGAAATCCATTCAGAAGTTGTCGGAAGGTAACCCACTGATGAAACAGAGACAAATGATTAAACACACACATGCATACACACACTCACAAAAATAAATGCACTCAAGCATACGCACACAAACGAGGAGGGCTCAGAACATCTAAAAATTGATTTTAAAGAACTGATTCTAGCACTGAAAGATTCCAAAAAGCGGCCAATCATTTCAGGTCCGGTACCATCGTTGGGCCGTGGGTGTGAAAGATCAAATCAAAAAAATCAAATCAAATCAAAATGTATTTCACACATGCGCCGAATACAACAGGTGTAGACCTTACAGTGAAATGCTTACTTACAAGCCCTTAACCAACAATGCAGTTCTAGAAATAGAGTTAAGAAAATATTTACTAAATAAAATCAAGTAAAAAATACAATAAAATCAAAAAGTAACACAAGGAAATTACAAAACAATAACGAGGCTAAATAAAGGAGGTACCGGTACCAAGTCAATGTGCGGGGATACAGGTTAGTCGAGGTAATTTGAAAAGTGACTACAGTACCAGTCAAAAGTTTGGACACACCTACTCATTCAAGGGTTTTTCTTTATTTGTACTATTTTCTACATTGTAGGTGTCAAAAGGGGTGATGTGTACGCGGCAGTGAAGTCAGGCGCAGGACACAGAGAAACAGGATGACTACTTTACTTAAAGTAAACACGCACAAACAAAAGGTCTCCACAACACTGGAGGAGTAACACAAGGCGAACTAGACATGCCGAACATCAACAAGACAAAATGACAATAACACACAAAGGCCAAACGTAAAACAAGGGAACTTATATGTTACACAATCAACACAAAATAAGCAACAGGTGTACAAACTAGACAACACAAGACAAACACCGAAAACATCGATCGGCAGTAGCTAGTACTCCGGGGACGACGAACGCCGAAGCCTGCCCGAGCAAGGAGGAGGAGCAGCCTCGGCGGAATCAGTGACAGTAGGATAACAGTGAAGACATCAAAACTATGAAATAACACATATGGAATCATGTAATAACCAACAAAGTGTTAAAAAAAAACAAAATATATGTAATATTTTAGATTCTTCAAATAGCCACCCTTTGCCTTTGTGACAGCTTTGCACACTCTTGGTATTCTCTCAACAAGCTTCAACTGGAATGCTTTTCCAACAGTTTTGAAGGAGTTCCCACATATGCTGAGCACTTGTTGGCTGCTTTTCCTTTTGTCTGCCGTCCGACTCATCCCAAACTACTGAATTGGGTTGAGGTCGGGGGATTGTGGAGGCCAGGTCATCTGATGCATCACTCCATCTCTCTCCTTCTTGGTCAAATAGCCCTTACACAGCCTGGAGGTGTGTTAGGGCGGCAGGTAGCTTAGTGGTTAAGAGCGTTGTGCCAGTAACCGAAAGGTCGCTGGTTCTAATCCCCGAGCCGACTAGGTGAAAAAATCTGTCGATGTGCCCTTGAGCAAGGCACTTAACCCTAATTGCTCTTGTAAGTCGCTCTGGATAAGAGCGTCTGCTAAATGACCAATTATTATTATTATTATTATTGGGTCATTGTCCTGTTGAAAAACAAATGATAGTCCCACTAAGCCCGAACCAGATGGCATGGCGTTTCGCTGAAGAATGATGTGGTAGCCATGCTGGTTAAGTGTGCCTTGAAAACTAAATACATCACAGACAGTGTCACCAGCAAAGCACCCCCACACCATGACACCTCCTCCTCCTTGCTTTACGGTGGGAACTATACTTGCGGAGATAATCCATTCACCCACACCGCGTCTCACAAAGACACGGCGGTTGGAACCAAAAATCTCAAATTTGGACTCCAGAGCAAAGGACACATTTCCACCGGTCTAATGTCCATTGCTCGTGTTTCTTAGCCCAAAAAGGTCTCCTCTTCTTGTTGGTGCCCTTTAGTAGTGGTTTCTTTGCAGCAATTCAACCATGAAGGCCTGATTCACACAGTCTCCTCTGAACAGTTGATGTTGAGATGTGTTTGTGACTTGAACTCTGCAAAGCATTTATTTGGGCTGCAATTTCTGAGGCTGGTAGCTCTAATGAACTTATCCTCTGCAGCAGAGGTAAGTCTGTGTGTTCCATTCCTGAGGCGGTCCTCATGAGAGCCAGTGTCATCATAGCGCTTGATGGTTTTTGCGACTGCACTTGAAGAAACGTTCAAAGTTCTTGAAATGTTCCGTAATGATAGACTGTCCTTTCTCTTTACTTATTTGAGCTGGTCTTGTACCAAATAGGGCTATCTTCTGTATAACAGAGAGAACAGTGTATGACTTGGGTGACTGGAGTCTTTGACAATTTTTTGGGCCTTCCTCTGACACCGCCTAGTATATACAGTTGAAGTCGGAAGTTTACATACACTTAGGTTGGAGTCATTAAAACTCGTTTTTCAACCACTCCACAAATGTCTTGTTAACAAACTACAGATTTGGGAAGTCGGTTAGGACATCTACTTTGTGCATGACACAAGTCATTTTTCAAACAATTGTTAACAGACAGATTATTTCACTTATAATTCACTGTATCACAATTCCAGTGGGTCAGAAGTTTACATACACTAAGTTGACTGTGCCTTTAAATAGCTTGGAAAATTCCAGCAAATGATGTCATGGCTTTAGAAGCTTCTGATAGGTTAATTGACATCATTTGAGTCAATTGGAGGTGTACCTGTGGATGTATTTCAAGGCCTACCTTCAAACTCAGTGCTTGACATCATGGGAAAATCAAAAGAAATCAGTCAAAACATCAGAAAAAAATGGTAGACCTCCATAAGTCTGGTTCATCCTTGGGAGCAATTTCCAAACGCCTGAAGGTACCACGTTCATCTGTACAAACAATAGTACGCAAGTATAAACACCACGGGACCACGCAGCCGTCATACCACTCAGGAAGGAGACGCATTCTGTCTCATAGAGATGAACGTACTTTGGTCCGAAAAGTGCAAATAAATCCTAGAACAACAGCAAACGACCTTGTGAAGATGCTGGAGGAAACAGGTACAAAAGTATCTATATCCACAGTAAAACAAGTCATATATCGACATAACCTGAAAGGCCGCTCAGCAAGGAAGAAGCCTCTGTTACAAAACTGCCATAAAAAAGCCTACGGTTTACAACTGCACATGGGGACGAAGTTCGTACTTTTTGGAGAAATGTCCTCTGGTCTGATGAAACAAAAATAGAACTGTTTGGCCATAATGACCATCGTTATGTTTGGAGGAAAAAGGGGGGACCAAAGTTGTGGCAAAATGGCTTAAAGAAAACAAATTCAAGGTAATGGAGTGGCCATCACAAAGCCCTGACCTCAATCCTATAGAAAATGTGTGGGCAGAACTGAAAAAGCGTGTGCGAGCAAGGAGGCCTACAAACCTGACTCAGTTACACCATCTCTGTCAGGAGGAATGGGCCAAAATTCACCCAACTTATTGTGGGAAGCTTGTGGAAGGCTACCCAAAAAATTTGACCAATGTTACACAATTTAAAGGCAATGCTACCAAATACTAATTGAGTGTATGTAAACTTTTGACCCACTGGGAATGTGATGAAAGAAATAAAAGCTGAAATAAATCATTCTCTCTACTATTATTCAGACATTTCTTATTCTTAAAATAAAGTGGTGATCCTAACTGACCTAAGAGGATTAAATGTCAGGCAGTGTGAAAAACTGAGTTTAAATGTATTGGCTAAGGTGTATGTAAATTTACGACTTCAACTGTAGGTCCTGGATGTTAGGAAGCTTGGCCCCAGTGATGTACTGGGCCGTAAGCACTACCCTCTATAGAGCCTTATGGTCAGATGCCAAGCAGTTGCCATACCAGGCAGTGATGCAACCGGTCCGGATGCTCTCGATGGTTTGCTGTAGAACTTTTTGAGGATCTGGGGACTCATGCCAAATCTATTCCGTCTCCTGAGTGGGAAAAGGTGTTGTCGTGCCCTCTTCACAACTGTCTTGGTGTGTTTGGACCATGATACTTCATTGGTGATTTGGACACCAAGGAACTTGAAAATATCGACCCGCTCCACTTCAGCCCCGTCGATGTTAATGGAGGCAAGTTCGGCCCTCCTTTTCCTATAGTCCAAAATCAGTTATTTTGTCTTGCTCACATTGAGGGAGAGGTTGTTGTCCTGGCACCACACTGTGAGGTCTCTGACCTCCCTATAGGCTGTCTCATCATTGTCGGTGATCAGGCCTACCACTGTTGTGTTCTCAGCAAATTTAATGATGGTGTTGGAGTCGTGCTTGGTCATGCAGTCGTGGGTGAGCAGAGAGTACAGGAGGGGACTAAGCACGCAGCCCTGAGGGGTCCCAGTGTTGAGGATCAGCGTGGCAGATGTGTTGTTGCCTACCCTTACCACCTGGGGGTGGCCCGTCCGGAAGTCCAGGATCCAGTTGCAGAGGGAGGTGTGTAGTCCCAGGGTCCATAGCTTAGTGATGAGCTTTGAGGGCACTATGGTGTTGAACGCTGAGCTGTAGTCAACTATGTGTTGTTGCCTACTGGCAATACACGCCTGGCTAAAATATTACTTTAGCTCTGTTGGAATCATTTTTATAGATAATCTTGAGACCTTCTGGAAACAGAAAATCT